TGGAACAGCTTATATCCTCCAACGTTACCTTAACAGTTCCTAGGTCCTTGGTTAGGACTCGAGCTACCAACCAACCCCAAAGGCGGTGAACCTCACCAAAGATTAAGCACATCATGATAATAATAATAGGTCCTTGGTTAGGACTTGAGCTGTTGAGCTACCAACCAGCCCCAAAGGCTGTGAATCTCACCAAAGATTAACCTAATAATACTACTACTAATTATAATAAAAACAGTGATACCTATTTTTGTCGGGGCACTTGGTACTATGTCCAAGAATTTTATAAAACACATCAAGAAATTGCAGATTTCCGCAGTAACACCAGCGGAACTGCAAAAAACTGCGCTACTCGGAACAACATACATCTTAAGAAGGTGCTTGGTTGATACCTAGGATGCTGCCAGCAACCAGTATCAACATTAGCACCAGTCAATGGTATTTGTGATGTGCTTTTGAATGTTCAGTTGGCTGAGTTTCATGTTTAATGAATAAAGTATAAATTATAATAATATAAATTGACAAAACCCTCAATTTTTTTACATTTTTTTTAAAAAATTCAGCTCTGGGAAGCTGCCCGAGGACATGTACTCCACCAGTGGGACTTCTCGTGCCCTTTGAACTGCGTGACCTTTCATCCAAACAGTCAGTTAGTGGCTGTCGGTGGATGGGACAGATCGGTTGCTGTCTTGGATACAAATGGAATGAGCAAGATCTCGGTGAGGTTGAGAGGGACTCGGTGTATAACTGGGAAGATGGATCATTGAGGAAGACATGTCAATCAATGGAACTGGCTCTGGGAGTCATGAGGAAGCAGTCAGTTGTCTTTGACCACCATTGTCTCTTGCAGGTCATGAAGGATCATGATTCCTCCGTCCACTGCATTTCCTTCTCTTCTACTGGGAAAGTTTTGGCGGCGGCTACTTTGGCTGGTTCCATCACCCTGTGGTCGTGGCAGGAGGCCATCATCCTGGGCTCATTCAAGGCTCACTCTGGATGCACCTCGGTGGCTCGGTTCCTTTCCAATGAAAAGCTTCTCACAGCAGGAGAAGACTGCAAGGTGCAACTTTGAGCATAATGAATGAGGTTGAAGATTGATGGGAGGGACATAAGGGTTGATGAATTGGTTTGAGGCTGGTATTAGAAGATTTTATTGCACTTGTAATGTACCAATCTTGATTTCAATAATTTCAATTTCTGCTGGAACCCTCCAGATATAATTAATGTATGTATGTATGTATGTATGTATGTATGTATGTATGTATGTATGTATGTATCAGTGGTGGGTTCTGGATCCCGTTGCAACCGGTATGCTGCAACAGGGCCACATGTCCAACATTGCCGAGCATGCTGCGCACACATGCACATCCACTGCCTGCGACACTCCAGCTGCTTTGTGGGGTGTTGCGCAGGTGCTTTAACTGCGTGCATGCAGGTGCGTAAATGGCCCGTTTTCTTCAAATATTGGTAAGGAAGGAGGGCGGCCTGGCGGGCCCTCCAAAGCACCGTTCCAGTACAGTGGCTGCTGCTTCCAGCAGGCACCAGTATGTGCATACCGGGGCGTACCGCCCGGAACCCACCACTGTATGTATGTATGTATGCATGTATATACGTATGTATACATGAGAGAGAGAGAGAGAGAGAGATCTATATATATAGTTTAGCTCAGTTGCAGCAGGAACAAAAGAAGCTGCAATTCATTATGAAAAAGTCAGCTGTTAACATGCTTATATTGCCAAAAAAACTATTTTGTTGAATAAACCTGCAACTTCGCAGTTGCTTTGTTATTTTAAAAAATCCAAATATTTCTTTGCAGTACTCCCAAAGTGAATATATAATTTGATTAAAATTATCAACAGTTCCTTAAAACCATTGTTTATTATTACTGTTAAAAATAACTGTATAATACTTCAAAAACATTTAAAATCAATATTGGCTTCTGCACCACGATGAAATCAATAGTGCCTGTGTACTGTGAAGACTTTTGGTCCTTTTTTCCCAATAAAAATGGACTCAAGACTGAAATGACCTTGGATATAGGCAGCTATTAAAGCAAAATTCTGGGGGGGGGGGAAAGATATAGATTAGATATAGATATAACTCAGGATGGTTTCCAATTAGTGTAAACTTATGTAAATTCATCAATATAGATTACTTTATTGAGATTCTTCTCTCTCCCCACCCTCTCTCACTCTCTTTATATATATTAATTAATAATTAAAAATGGTTTATCATGAGAATAGAATAAAATAGAACAGAACAGAATTAAATTCTTTTTTGGCTAAGTGTGATGCACAAGGAATTTGTCTCCAGTGCATAAACTCTCAGTGTACATCTATGTAAATCAAGTGATATATCATGATAATAAATAAAAATAAAATAAAGATAACAATAAAAGTAAGATCTACAAATATAAGCCCATACACCTTTTCCTTTATAAAGAAGGCATTTGAAATACCCATAGTTTATGTGAGGGGATTCAAACTGGGTGAGGATTCTGAGATACCCAAAGAGCCCAGCCTTAGGACAAATTGGTTTCTAATTCACATTTTTCCAACTCAGAAACAGTCTACAATATGCAGAATCAGCTCATTTTCTAACCCATTCGTTCCACTGGAAACCCATTTTTCATTATTATTAAATAAAGACACACCCATTCCTATGAAATCCGATGTCATCTACATTGAGATTTAGCCACAAATAGAACAAACCAATGAAATGTTGTCTAATTGATCATTGTGTCTTGATGCACAGGTTCAGATTAGCAAAGGACACTTGGGGCAATTTTGGACCACTTTAGGATCAAGAATTCTTTCCCCGGCCCTGTGCATGGCCTCAAACCTTGATGGAAGCCAACTGGCGGTGGGACACCATTCAGATGGCATCTGGATCTACAGCCAGCCTTGGCGTAAGACAATTATGGTTGGAAGTTTCTTCTGGAGGGGTGATGCAGTTTGATTCATTTATTATGGGGAACTGTGGCAAAACGTTCCTTCCTTCCTTCCTTCTTTCCTTCCTTCTTTCCTTCCTTCCCTCCTTCCTTCCTTCCTTCTTTCCTTCCTTCCTTTCTTCTATCCCTCCCTTCCTCCCTTTCTTCCTTCCCTCCCTCCTTTTTGTTCATCTACTCCATTTATCTATATATCCATCCATCCAACCCCTCTTTCTCTCTCTCTGTCCTTCCTTCCTTCTATCCCTCTCTCCCTCTCTCCCTCCATTTCTTCTTTCCCTCCCTCCTTTTTGTTCATCTACTCCATCTATCTATATATCCATCCATCCAACCAACCCCTCTTCTCTCTCTCCCTTCCTTCCTTCCTTCCTTCCTTCCTTCCTTCCTTCCTTCCTTCCTTCCTTCCTTCTATTTCTTCCTCCCCCCTCCCTCCTTTTTGTTCATCTACTCCATCTATCTATATATCCATCCATCCATCCATCCCTCCTTCTCTCTCTCCGTCCTTCCACCCCTTAATTTCATCCCCAATTATTTGATGTCTGAAACAGAACATCAAGTGTTTATTACTTGAAGTGTAGAAACCGTATTTAATTTCTAGCCTCATGAATGGTCATCCTAATTACTGACTCTTTCAGCTGAAGTTCTACATGATGACCAATGTCCTAGATCCATGATGGTGGACCAAGGGCAAGGGGGCCACAGGGGGCACACAGAGCACTCTTTGTGGGCACGCCAGCCGTCGCCCCAGCCCAGCTCCTCTATGCATGTGCGCACGCCAGCCAGCTGCTCTTTGGGTGTCTGCCGTGCATGTGTGGGGAATGAGATACATGTGGGGAATGTGCGTGTGCATGCGTGGGCGGGCAAGGAACCGGAGCGGGGGTGCTTGCATTGCATTTGGGAGTTCGTATGAATGTGCACCCCCTGCCACCCCATTTTGGCCCCGGAAGGCCTCCTGCATCAATAGGTGAAGGGGGGAGCGGGGCGCATGCATGGGATGTGTGGACATGCACGAGGGTGCATGCACAGGGGGGGGTGCTCACATTGAATTTTGGGATTTCACATGCACTCTTTGGGCACTCGGCACCAAAAAAGGTTAGCCGTTCTGTTCTGACCCCCCTCGTCCTACACCAAAGCACGCTGAGACAAAGATACTTCAAGGATTTATTAACACACAGACAAGACCTTGGCAGCAATCCAGCACAGGCCACACATTGGCAGCAATCCAGCACAGACTAACCTTGGCAGCAATCCAGCCTGCCAAGCTAGCCACGAGAGTTCTCCAGCTCTAGTGAATACATTGACTCCTGCAACGGGGCGTGTGCACAATCATTCCTTTTATAGTCTTGAGAGGAGCCTAATTACCACCAGTTGAGTGCAATTATCTCCTGTAACTGCGTAACTGTTCCTTACGCCTATTAGCCCTCTGTTGCCAGGCATCCAGGACCAACTCCCTTGTCTCCTCCCCACTGCTCCAATGCATGACATCACGATCACACTCCCTTGTCTCCTCCCCACTGGTCCAAGGCTCAGGCGCCTCCTGGTGGCCAACCAGCCTCTCTGCACCCTGCTTGGAGTCAGAACCCTGTACAGGCTCCTCCACATCCTCCAGAGCCGACTCATAGGGCCTCTCGCTGTCGGAGTCTGGTGGCAGTTCCAATGGCTCCTGCTGGGCCACAACACATCCCTGTCCTAGATGAGCTGTCATTTGGGTCAAAAGAACTGAGTGGAAGCCTAATTTCCTGGCAAAAGTGCCCATTGGAAGAAGAGCCCAACCCACAGTTGTGCAAAGCCCCTCCTGGCCACGACTGCCATCTGATGACTCAGGAGTCGTGAGTCCAGGAGAAACCCCAAATTATGCACTGGGTCTATTTGGGGCAGTTCCACTGCCTCCAAGACCAAAGGTGGCAATTCTCCATGGACCAAAGAACCCCAAGCCCAGAACTACTCAATCTTGCGGGGATTCAGTTTCCAAACCCATTGCTCCCCATCCAGCCCCTAACAAAGGGAGGGCTAATCTCTTTGTTGGCGCGTGCCAACAGCGTGCACATGCACAAAACAGTGTGCACACTGGGTGCCCACCCATAATACAATGCACCCAACACCCCCTGTGCTCCAGGCTGTCTTGTGCATCCGTGTGCGACTCCCCCTGCGTGGCCTCTTTACCCGTGCATAGGATGCGTGTGACCGCTACGACCCGTTTTGGGCCTAGCAGGCCTCCCTGAAGCCTCCTGCGCCCAAAAACAGGGCATGGGGGGGCATGCACTCCTCCTCTCAATCCCCCCGCCCCCTGCACATGCACGCATGCTCCCCCACGCATGGGTATCTCCTGCATGCGTCCTGGTTCCCCCCCCACGCATGCCCAGCAGAGACCCGAAAATCAGTTGGTCAGCGGGAGGGGTGTGTGCATGCGTGGTAGAGCTGAGCTGGGGTGACGGCTCACCTGCTCCCAGAGAGGGCTCCATGTGCCACCTGTGGCACGCCTGCCATAGGTTTCTCATCGCGGCCCTAACAGGTTCTTTGTCGCTAGAGTACGAAACCTTAGATAGTTTTTTAACTTATGTATGTTCTTTCATTCTTGTAGGCTTTCAGACAACCCCGGTTCATTTGCAAGGAAGCGATGTGGCCGTCTGTAGCCTGGCTTGGTTACACCATGTATTTTTGGTTGCGGGCCTCGGTGATGGGTCCCTTTGTGTCTGGAAGACTTTTGAGAGCAGCTCCCATTGCTGCCATCAGTTCAAGGCCCACGAGAAAGCTGTGATGGGCCTTGCGGTGTCTGATAAGCTGGTGGCTTCTGTCTCAGGTGAGTCCAGGGGGGGGATTCCAGGGGGTTTCTTTGAGGACTTCAAGAACTAGAAAGGAATTGAGCAAAGAAAGGGAGTCACTTGTGGGAGGATTCAATGGAACTGCAAGTAGCAGTATCTGGCTGAGCTCGTCTAGGCTTGATAACTAAGTAGAATTCAGTTTAGTTGGAACTTGGGTGGCAGAAAATCCCAGGTTTTTAGAACAGATTGAGGAGCCAAATTCTACAGCAATGATAACAAACCAGCAATGTCGCAAAAGTGCTTTTTTCAGGAGGCAACTGGACTTTCTTGTTTTTGCTTTTGAAAATGTTTTGCTTCTCATCCAAGAAGCTTCTTCGGCCCTGACTGAATGGTGTGGAATGGAAGGATTTATATTCCTTGCAGACAGCTGGTCATTTGCATCCTTTTAGAGGGTCCTTGAAGCACTTGGAAGTTTATCTGGGTTGCCTGAGTGGTGCTCCTGATTCCTGTAGTCTGCAGTTTTTTTCCTCTGGAAATCCATTCCTACTCCCACACCATTCAAAGGGTGTTTATCACAAATTGTATAGCTTAAAAGTCTGTAGAGATTCTCAGTCATCCAGGTCATGGTTGTCCCAAAGGGGCTTTTATGAGGAGGCAACTGAACGTTCTTGTTTTTCTTTTGAAGACGTTTCGCTTCTCATCTAAGAAGCTTCTTCAGCTCTGACAGGATAGAGGGGCATGGAAGGATTTATAATCCTTGCAGACAGCTGGTCATTTGCATCCTTTTAGAGGATCCTTGAAGCACTTGGAGATTTATCTCTGTCCATAGGGTCACCTGAGAAGTTGCCCCTAATTCCTGTAGTCTGCAATTTTTTTTCCCCTCTGGAAATCCATTATTCCTACTCCCACACCATTCTAAGGGTGTTCATCCCAAATTGCATAGCTTAAAAGTCTGTAGAGATTCTCAGTCATCCAGGTCATGGTTGTCTCAAAGATGCTTTTTCAGGAGGCAACTGGACTTTCTTCTTTTTCTT